GAGACTAAGACCTTTGGTCACCCGTCAGGCCTGGAACAAACTCACGCCATCATAGCTCAACAATAACTCTAGTGAGGTACACACACCTTAGAACAATCTACTGGAGATCAAAAGGCCCGAATTTATCCAAGGACAAGGTTTAGAAGGGTTAGGAAAGGAGGAGGAATGGAAACAGGAAACACAAGTAGAAAGTGGGATAAGTGATGTTATGAGCTAAATACCTTTTAACCAATAGGTTCATCTTAATTTTTAAATTTGAGGGGGTGTGTGTGCGCATGTGCATAATACTTTTATGTAAGCCGAAGTCTCCTTCCCTTCCAAATTGTCTCTTCCCTAACAATTGAAAAGGACCTGCTGTCCTGCCTTTTTTATAAATCCTCACACAGATTATTTCCCCGACCTCCCAGCCCACCACCTGTGTCTCACCTCTAAATTTTCCCTTTACTCCAAAATTCTTGGTCTTTTTATATGTAGCACGGTAAAATTACTCTTTTTTTTTTTTTAAGATGTGGGATTATGAATACTTTCATTTTATGTTCTCCTTGCCTTTCCATATGGCTTTTTCTCCTTTAGTAAAATTTACATACATCAAAACAGACAAACAAACCCCAGATCTTGATCCAGTTAGTTTTGACAAATTTAAAGCTTTGGTTTTGAAATCTAATTCATGACTATTACTAGAGGGTATCATAGTAAAGTATTAACGGTTAACAACATAGAATCCTTCAATACTGCCACTGGAGACTTGAACTCTTTATTTTACAAAATAGGATCATATTCTATTGAAGTGTTACTCTGTTTCCTTAACCAAGTCATCTATAATTTTTGCATTTCACTACCAGTGATGCATAAGACAAAAATCTAATTTAGCAAGGCTATATTAACTACAATCTGCAAAAAAAACTGAAAGAAATCGAACACACTTAGGATGAAATTTAATCAAGTAGGGAAATTTTATAAATCTACAAATCTTCTGGAGTCCATGGGTTAACTAATAAAACATAAAAATATTTAAATATTGACAACTCCTTGTAGAGTTCCCCAGAAAGATATAACTAAAATTAAAGTAGTAATCTCTGCTCCCAATAAAATGAATAATCCTGAAAATAGAAGGAACCCATGATGAACCTGAGATACAGTCTAGCTAAAGGTAGAAGTCACTATAAAGTTATTTAAAAAAGAACCACCCAACTCTTAAATGTGAATTTGGTGAAGGTTTACAGAGCAGGCTATCAGCTGCACTCCATTCCACAATTCAGCCACATCTTGTTTCATTGACTGCAATCCTCTCAGTGTAACATCACTTCTCCTACTTTCTCCCTGTGGTTCCTGTTTCCATTCCTCCTTCTTTCCTAACCCTTCTGAACTTACCCTGAGAATTTGTATCTAACGTTCAGTAACAGTTGGTAATAATAAAGTGCTGGTGGTTATGTGTTTGGCTGATAACTGAAATAGTCAGTGGTTGGAACCCACCAGCTTCTCTGTGGGAGAAAAGATGAGGCCATCAACTTCTGTAAAGATGTACAGCTTTGACTGATTGTGAGGGTTGGAAATGTAAAGGTAGACATTTTGTAGCAAGGCAGGGAGTGATTAACTTTGCAGTCAAGAAGCAGAGATCCCTTGGACCATGAAGGGA